GCCATAGGAACGCATTGAACGAAGTTCAATGTGTTTCTATGGCTTTTTTTTATTCCGTTTAGCGATGTTTCGCTATAGCAAAGGTTAATCCGGAACGGATTAACCTCGCTATGCGAGGCACCACTGTACTGGGGGCTTAACATGTTATCCGAACTGAGCTTGTCATGGCTTCTTGTGCCCCTTGCAGACAACCAAACTTTGCTCTTGATCTACATTTCTGACTTGTTTGGGGACAAGAAACGAAGAGTTTTATCTTGTAGAACATATAAAGAGCTTAGTTCAGCTACTCCTGCTGGCAGGTGGGGCCAAGAGGGAGTACACCGAGCATGTGCACAAACATATAACACATGAAGAGTAATTCCTGGATGAACTGGATTATCTAGACTCATTTCAATCTGGCTTCAGGCCCAGCTACAGGATGAAGACAAATTTGGCCACCTTAGTGGATGACCTATGCTAGGAATTGGACAGGGTGAGTGTGTCCCTTCTGGTTTAGCTGGACTTCTCAGTTGACCATGGTATTCTTGTGGGCTGTCTCTCTGGGACTGAACTTGGAGGTACAGTGGCTCTGATCCTTCTAGGAGAGGAGCCTTCACAAGGTGGTGCTAGGGGACTACTTTTCAGCACCCTGGTCTGTGGTGTTCCCCTAGGTTCTGTTTTGTTCCCATGCTATTTCACATCTACATGAAACCTCTTTGAGGGGTTTCCAGAGTCTGGGGTTCAGTGTCACCAGTATGCTGATGTCACCCAACTCTATTTTTCCTTTCCACTTACAGTGGTGGCTCACTAGACAATGTTTGGGTCTTGGGTCCTTGCCTCGCAAGACGGTTTCCCCCCCATTGAAACACATTAATTACATAAGACTTACTTCTTTATCCCAAAAAAAAGGGGCGGGGGAGAAAGTGTATGCTGCTGGCTTTCCAGGGTCTGCCTCCTGGAAAAACAGCAACACTTTCTCCCCCACTTTTTAAGGATAAAAAAAGTAGGTCTTATGTAATTAATGTGTTTCAATGGGGAAAAAACATCTTGCAAAGCATTACAAATGGGGCTATGGCTGCAAATTTAAATGATAGAGAATGGTGAAAACAGCCAGGAACCAAAGGGTAAAGATATTATAAAAAACCATGTAAATCACAAATGTAATCTCCCATTAACACCAGTTGTGCAGTTGAGTTTCCCACATTTGGGGAAATCACAGAAATCAGTAGCACACCCAAAATGTAATGGATAGAAGCATTACAAATGGGGCTATGGCTGCAAATTTAAATGATAGAGAATGGTGAAAACAGCCAGGAACCAAAGGGTAAAGATATTATAAAAAACCATGTAAATCACAAATGTAATCTCCCATTAACACCAGTTGTGCAGTTGAGTTTCCCACATTTGGGGAAATCACAGAAATCAGTAGCACACCCAAAATGTAATGGATAGGCCTCCCCCTGGGAAAACCACTTTTATGACCATGGTATTTCCCTTGCAATATATGAGTTGGAATGGCCCTTTCACCTCCTACCCCCTTCTCTGTCCCTTGACCCCCCCCCCAAACCATGGCAACCCCCTGGCAGCAC